TGTTATGCACAGCTCTAGGGAGCACAGACAAACCCAGATTATTTGATTTCGGATGAAGCTCTGCACACTGAAAGCAAAAAATTTAAATATACAAATGCAGTTATGTTTTGTGTTTTGCATCACCATTTAGAGCTCTGTAAAGAAGTCTTTGAAATGCACAACAAATTTGCTAAATCAAAAAAAGGACAGTGGTAGTACATAAAAAATTGTATTACTTTGTTAATTAACAGGGTACAGGGTTGAATCTTACAATGTTGCAACATGTTCCCAGAAAGAATATTAGAAAACATTCACAAAGGTCGTAGTGCTAAAGGGCTCAGGAAGGGTTGGAATAATTTGTATTCGTTGCAAAAAAGAAAGTGAGGAGACAAGTTACGAAGCTGATAAACCAAAAAGTGTACAGCCTAGCAGAAACTATGAGTCATTAATATGAGTAAGCAGTCACGTAGCAATGTAATTTATCATTGATCACTTTTGTTCTTCATAGGAAGGACCCCTGTGGCCGACATTCCTACCCACTGTTTACCAAAGGACATATTTCCCAGAGCAGATGGGCTAAGGGGAGCTCCCAGCTTAAATAAATATATGGATATACTCTGGTAGTTAGTGTGGATAAAAATTTCCTAGGTTTTGTCTGAAACTGCATTGAGGCTTGCACTCATAGAGAGTAGAGCAGGGTAAATTTCTGCTGGGTAGTGTGTAGTGTCACCCCAAAATACAGAATTAAAATACCTCATTGGATTTGTTCTACAGTGGAAGGGCTTTTCATTTTGGCAAAATTAGGCTAATGATAAAAGCAGCATAATAAATGTTTAGATCAAAGATGTGACACATAAGCCTATACCCTCCACATATATATTGACATACAGGAAAATAATAGCAGGAGATCATCACAGAATCATAGAATATCCTGAGCTGGAAGGGACCCATCAGGATCATTGAGTCCAACTCCTGGCCCTATGCAAGACACCCCAAGAGTCACACCATGTGCCCGAGAGTATTGTCCAAACACTTCCTGAACTCTGTCAGGCTTGGTGCTGTGACCACTTCCCTGGGGAGCCTGTTCCAGTGCCTAACCACCCTCTGGGTGAAAAACCTTTTCCTGGTATCCTCCCCGGGTAAACCTCCCCGATTCAGCTTCATGACATCGAGTCTTTGAAGGAAGCTGCTTTTAATATGTAGCTAAATTTTTTCTTTCCTAAATATAACTGTGAAGATTTGCAACAAGAATATGAATGGGAATATGAAAGACTTAAAATAGCTATAGAGCAGGTTTGGTACAGAATTTGGAGGACAAAATGTATATATGGATATGTATTTCATAATCAAATATTCACCCTATTTTGGCAGCATTGTGCAGTGATTTAGGACACCAAAATCCCCAAATATCCACAGCCATGCAATGGTTTTAACTTTCAGTGAAATTTAACTGTGATATGAGTTAATATCCTTTTTTAAAAATTTAAAATATTATTTTTTAAAATAATATCCTTGCACAGTATGATACTACTAGCTTTCATAACTTTATCCAAGAGGCACAAATCTTTGAGACTTAACCATTTATTTCCTCCTTAGAACTGGATATAACACTACTGTTGAAGGTAATGATCCCAGCTCAGTTGCGTGGCCTAATGGGTGAACACTCTGTACTTGAGGTACCATTTGCAAATTCACAGTTTTAGTTAAGTTGGCTTAAAAGAGGAGAAAACTACACACAAATAGGATGGCAATAGGTAAAGAAGCACTCATGAGGATGCACAGAAGAAGAAACAGAAGGAAAGAAGTTGTTGTCATGTCACTAACTAAATGAGCCACCATGTCAGGATGACAGAAAAAGCGTAAGCAAGGAATAATACTGTTTTGTTTCTCATTCCCCTGTTCTATTAAGGGAAATTAAATCTACTGCCTTCTTGATAAGTAAGATGGATTTCATAAAAACATATCAATTTATACTGCCAGTTTCTTCTCAAACAGCATTAAATCTGTAAGGCCTTGGATATGTAGTAACACACATCAGACCAGAAGAACAAAAGTCTCTTGTCATTTTAGGTTGAATAATATTGTGTATGTCCTGCCATCTACTCCTCTTGAAAAAGAAAATGAAGATTTATTTAGCAATTTATATCAGATCTGATTTTTTAGAATTTATTTGAAAATTTTCCACAGAATCCAACTTTAAATTTCCAGCCTTCTCTATGTAAGGTCTTGTGAAAGAGATATTCTGGTATGAAATGACTCAGTTGAACAGCAAATTAAATAAATAGTGTGTTACTTTTTATTTTGCCAGAGCATTCCCATTTGACTTCTAATAACAACTTTCATGAGCAGTCATTGAGAATTAAGTGAAAACTTTGGGGAGGTCTGTCTTTACAAAGTATAAAATTGCAGCGGACACTTCTGGCTTTCCAATTGAAATGTAAATTAAAATTAAAGAGATAAGATCACTGTTAGATTATGATTTGAGCAAGATTATACTTCAAGTACTGCCGAGTTTAAAACCAGAGTGAGTTAAAGTAGGATCTGGGAGCATTTCAATGGCATATAACTTAAAATATTTAAAAAACCCTTTACTTGCCCCAGCAATTTAAGTAAGCAAAGCTTACAAAAACAAAATACAAATTTTTACTGATCTTTTATCATTATCTCATGCAAAATAATATTTCTGCTTCAATTTATTCATTTTTCTCATGTCGCAGGATTGCAAAATGAATGCATTAGACTGAAAGGAGAACATTGGGTAGGTGTCCAAGAAGGGACAATAATCCAAGAAGTAGCCACAATTTGTGTATGATCTGTGACTGTTCTGCACTGCTTTGTCTGTACAAAGCACACTTAGCAGCAGTGCAGTTGATTACAGAAAGGGCCAAACCAGTATGCATGAAATTGCAAATGGGAGAGACTGACTTCAGGCACACACACACAGATACGATTAAGAGATCATCCAGATTAGCTGCAAATTTTCAAATGTTTGTTAAAGCAAAATCAAGAGTGTATAATGTAATTTTTCTATATACAGGGATTACATGCCAAATATCCAACTTCTGATATGTTTGATTTATAAGCCCCGGATAACTGGGGACACCATAGCAGCCTAACTGAGTCTGGCTCTATCAAAAAGTGAGTGTAGAGAATTCAGAGCAGAATTTGTCCTTCGACTTTTGTTTCTCCTATCTTTTGAGAGTTGAGTCTTCTTGGCAGATTTAAAACAGTTTTGTAACGTAAGCAAAGACTAAACAATAAAAATTAATTTAAAACATACATACTTTCAGTCACATTAACTCCCTGCACAATGTAATGTTATATAAACATGGGCAAATAGACCAAACTAACTATGGCAATTGTTCCTCAGAATGTGTTTTCTTAAGAATTATATAGACAAAAGCGTGGCAAGTAAGGCCAACAATAGTATCATTTAACAGCCCATCTGTGCTGAAACTCTGGAAATTATTATTTTCAGCGCTTCAATATTTGCATAATGTTTTGAAATCACTATCAAATACTTCCAGAACAGCTTAGCACAATTGAAATAAATAAGAGTATTTGTTATCACTATGGACTTGACTCACCTCTCTCAGTTTCTCAAAAAATTATAACTGACAGCTTTCTACATCTAGTTATTGGTCAGCATTATACCCACCAAAGAAGTCCAAAGTGCAAAGAGAATTTAGCTAATTTACAAATAAAGATGAATGTTCCAGAAATTAAGTCCTAGAACAGAACTTCAGCTGGAGTAAATTGTCTTCAGTCCTGAAGGTCTCCCTGTACCTCATCTTATTGGGTGCAATGATTAGTCCACCCTGTCAGCTAGCAGAGGTCCATTTATACAAAAAAACTGGCCTGGAGATTGTTGCAGTAAAAGAACAATAGTCAAACAATAAAGTACATAATTGATTACAATAAAATGCAGGCCATGAGCCTAATTTAAAATCTTACTTTCATTATATAGGTCCCACAGCTTGAAGGAGGCAACCTGTCATCTTGCTGTCTGAGTACCCTTCCATGCAAAATCAGAACAATGGGAAAACAACAAAACTCTAGCCATCACACAGTCTTTTGCCTTTTTTATTAGATCAAAGTGCTACTTGGGTTAACTGTTTTGAAGGAGGAAGTGTTGTTTCCTTTTGGGGTTTGCTGGTAAGAGTTTATAGAGAAAAGTAGCTGTCTATGTTTTACCAGTAGTAATGGTAGAAAGGTCTTCTAAAGGAGAAACATTTTGTAATACCTTCTAAAATTTTTGCTCTTTATCCCCACTTCCTGATTTGAATTGTCTCAAATAACTAAAATTCATATTCATAATTCAGTTGTTGAGAAGATATTTAGCCAGTGAGTTACCCTGTAAAAAGCAAGGTTATGTGCCCCTCTTCAGCTACTGAATAACAGAGAATTTATCAAAATATAATAAAATTGTATGTTCCATTTCTTGTGTAGATTTGTACAAATTTATGCCATTCTAGATGACTGCTCATAGAAAGTTAATGTTTCCTATAAGAAACTGAAGCTTTCAAGAACTACTGTTGATGATTAAATTAATTCTTATGTAAGTGAAATTTTCAGTATTTGTCTAATAGAGACAATGCTTTTCTTGCTTCCCATAGCTTGGGTTCCCTTAAGACAACTATTACATGAACCTTGGGAACTCAGATGTCAGTGAATAAATTTTGGTAGTTGTCTCAGTCTGAGGAGACTGGAATGTTTGCTAAAGAGGATGAGATATAAGATAGACCACACTCCTCTCTCTCAGTAATTTTAAATTCAAAATTAAGGGGCTTTAATCGAGGAAGTGTGGAAAAAACAGAAGAAACAACAACCCTTTATAAAAAAAAAATATGTATGTTGGAAAAACAGTAACAGAACACAAAAAACTAGACAGTAGTCCTAGGGGGAAAAAAAAAAGGTCTGAATGAATACTTCTCTGTCCTTTAGCGCAGTCCTAATCGTGGCCTGCAGGGGGCGCTGTTGGATCGCTGGAGGTGCAGGGCCTGCAGGGGGCGCTGTTGGATCACTGGCGGTCACCCCGCGGGGAGGGGCCTGGGGGATTGGTCTCGGGTCGTGGGAGGAGCCGAAAAGAAGATGGGGGACCCTTCCCCCAATGGAAAGAAGCGGTAAGGGAAAGCAGTTCACCCCCCAACAGGACTCACTGTTCCCAGATGACGGTGTTCCAAGGCTCTCCCCTCTTCTCCCAGCAAGCACAGACCTCTCCGATGAAAAGAAGAAAAACAACCAGTAGGTCCCGGCGGGAGTCACGAGGCAGTGGCGGCGCAGGGCCGGTGGTCAGGCCTCACCAGGATGAAAGAACCAGAAAAAAAACTGGCTCCCAGGCTTTTCCTCCAGAAATGCCTGGATACAGTCCCTGTCTCCATCCCAGCGAGAGCGAGCTCTGCCGTCTGCCCCTCTCCCCTCAGAACAGAGCCAGCCCCCCCTCTCTCCCCAGCCTCTCTGATGGTCCATCACCGAGGAATGCAGTCTGGAGCTAATTCCTTTGTAAGGCTTATTACCTCCCTTCCCCCTTCCCTATTTCTCTTACAGGGAAGCAGGGAAAGAAAAAATTCCTCTCTCTGGTTTATAACCTATAACAGTAGTATTGCCTTAAAGATATTTATCGTGAAGAGATAATAAATAGAAACTGGTACTCCTCTAAAAAGGTAGATGTTAGGTAGATGTAGATGTTAGGTGAAATGTCATGAAACAGAAAGTAGTTTCTGTCTGTACATAGTAAGATACACAAACTTTGGAATCTTAAATTAAAACCCTGGCTTTGAACATACTGGTACCAATTCACTCGTCATCTGACTTTCTCTATTTCCTCCCTGCCAACTGCACAGCCAGTCTCTTAATGACTTAGTTGGTGTTGTGAAACTAACATCTCTTTATCTAATTCTGCGGAAAAGTGGAAATCTATTTGATCTTAACGTTATGAAGGT